TTGACAAGGACTCTACCTGGTGAACTACATGGGGACACACCAGGAGAGGATCTTTAAACGACCAGTGTGAACAGGAGGAATTATTATAACAAGCAAAACCAATTTTTTCCATTTGAAAACTTAAAGACAGCAGACACACTGAGAAAACAATACACACATACGAAGAACATAAAACGCACATAGAGGCCATCACAAAGAGGAAATGTAACCTGTGTTTCATCCTGCTGAGTAAGAAGTGAGCAACCTTACCTCCAAATCTTTCTCTGACATCTCTACACTGTTAGGAAACAAAACAATCGAAAGCTTAATGAATAGTCTGATTATTGAGTCATATTGTTGAAATAAAATAAATGTGTGGCAGATCACCTGTTGAAGCCCACTCGCTCTATGATGGAGAGCTCGCTCCAGCTTGTGACTGGTGGCTCCTCCTGACTGGTTTCTGTTGTAAAGACACAACCCAGTTTAAATGCAGAGCCATGATTACTGTTTGCTGGACGTTTTTACGGACATTTTATAGCTTTACAGTTACCTTCATCACTGTCGTCACTGCCCAGCATGGTGAAAGGGCAGTAGCTGTTTGTCTCTGCATCAGGCTGAAAGTAGTGCAGAAACTTTACATCTGTCTCTGAACCACACAGCCATTAAACATTTATCAGTGTCAACAGGAAGAGGAAGGACAGCTGGGAGATTATTTGACTCACCTGAGCGTCCATCGTGTCTTCACTATAATAATCTAAGAGTCTTATTCAGGTAAAAACCAGATTAAATTATTCAAATCCTCTTCACGGTCGACAGCGGATTTTTCAGGGCTGCTGAAATATATTCTCATAAATTCCTGTCTGCGTTTGGTTCATTTCTCCGTCAGCCTTTCTCCCGTACTGAGAATAGATAATCCTATTAAGAGATCCACAGTCAAACCAGAGCAGGACGACCGCCCCAGGAGGCTCATGGGTAGCGATGGCTGTACCTGTTGCTGCGGTTTTATCTTTTGTAAATAGATGGTGGTGTTGTCCCAGCTGATGAATCAAATGTGCCGTTCCCATCACCCTCAGCGTCATCTTCACTAAATCCAAACACTTCAGATAATAAAGGTTTCAAACCTTTACTGTCACTGAACCTGACACAGACGGGTGTACGGGCTCCAACAGCCTGTTCACTGTATCATTTGAAGGGGACCCCGTCCTTCATTTTACTCTTTTGAAGAACTTTAATAATTTGGTCTTTTTTGGGGGTTTTCAGAAATGATTTAGTTTGTCATATATTGCAGGATACATTTTACATAAACACATTTCTGTTTGTTGAGTGACAGTAACAGAGAGGCTAGATGGGTTTATGGGTCCCAACCGATTTGCCTAAAGTGACAACCTAATTGATATTTTATGGATATTTCATATTATATTCAAAGCATACCAGCAACAGTACAGAACACCTGACAAACTGTACAATAAACCAAAATAACTGTAGGAATTTTGTGTAAAACTGAATATTGCAGTTTTCCCTATATTTTAGTAACTTAGATAATGTTCTGTATTCGTATGTTTTTTTTATTAAACATCGATGAATACTTTTCTCTTCTCCCTGAAATTGTTCCATTAGCTCTGTCATTGTTTTAACTGGGTACCTTTTAATGCAGAACACTGTTCAGGTCTTTAGCTTTATCTAAATCAGGGGTTGCCCAACTTTTCCATACCAAGGTCCCCAAAAGAGTATATGGTTCTGCACTCTCTCCATCCCCACATTGAACTGACAAAAGATCTGCACACAGATGCAAATGAATCAGTAAGCACCACATTTTGATGACATGTCCTACTAACAAAGGCTATATTATAGAGTGGAGTAGTGTTAAGCACCGGTTCGGTTGCAGTTGAAAACTCTATGCAAACACCCTAAAGTCAAAACATTGAGACGTACATGACCTTTAAAAAGTTTAAATTAATAAATTCTGAACAAAACAAAAAAAACACCCAAAAGCAGCAGACTTTGGAGCATCTCCACATTTTATTAATAGAAAAGCTATCATTTAGTAGAGGCGCTGGGGTTTGCCCATGGTGCTCTTGACGTAGAGGGCGCGCACGTTCTGCCAGTTCTTCTTCAGCAGGGACACCAGGAAGTTCACAGCCAGGTGGATGTTGTACACAAGCTCATCCTCTGTCATCTTCACGTGTCCTACGGCTACAGCCAGACACAGCACCTACGACACAAAGCAAACATCAATATACTGTGCAGAAACACAAACAGATAGAAACTGGCAGTAACATCAACATGTACTCAGGACTGCTGCTCAACGTACCTTCTTCATCTGGAATTTGATTGTGGATTTGACCTCGTCCACCTTGGTATTCATGTTCTCGTTGTGAGTGAGCAGGGAGGGGAACTTGCCAGCCTTGTTCAGCCCAGGACCCAGGATACGAGGGATCTGCTTGATCAGAGACTCAGAGGCCAGGAAAGCGTCATATTTCTTGGCTATAAGGGGACAGAAGGAAACGAGAGATCAGTTTAAAACGGCCCGCTGGCAGTTCAATCGCCACAAATCAGGCGTCTCGTGATGCCAACTTCATACCGAGCTTCTTGACCATCTTCTTGTTCTTGTTAAGCTTCTTGAGAGCCTCGATGTCCATGTGTGGCAGTTCGGCGGCTTTGGCCTCGTCACAATGCTGCTGGTCTCCCAGGACGCACACGGAGAACTTTGGCCTGGGGAGAGTCTTCAGCCTGCGCATCGACAAAGACGTTAGAGAGACTGCTCACGACCCCGCGTCAAACCCAAGGACCATCAGTTGGAAGTAAGGCAGCGTATAGTCGTGTCCATTATCAGTGCTGAAACAGCTGGAATCTGCACTTTTAATTCATTATCAGACCATATAGGACAACAAATGTTTACTGTCCTAGTTCTCATTATGTAAATCAAGTGGAAATAGAAACTACACAAATGTGTGATGGAAAATGCAAAATATACTTAAATATCTAAATCAGACATTAAACTTAAATACTCTGCCATCTCCAAATGACACCGTCCTGATTTAACCGTGTAATAGAAGAGTTCTTACCCATACCACCACTGTGATCGGTGTCCAGCAGACCTCTTTGGTAATGTAAATTGGTCGGCATGAGGACGTGAACTTAGCAGCTCAGCCACTCAAAACCTTCCCTCATGTTTTAAGACCCAGGGTAGGGGTCCGTCTGCGTCACCTCCACCAGCCAAGGCCGGGTCAGTTCAGTCAGACTACCCAGAGTACTTCTCCATGTCTGCCCCTGGCCTGTCTTTTTTTTTTCCTTTGTTTTACACTTTACACAGATTTAAATGCCATCTAACAGGCTGTTTTTAAAACTCAGACAGGGCTGGAAGCACACAGGGAAAAGGTTGGGTGAAACAGTAAAAGGTCGAACCTGACAGTGCCGGAGAAACGCTTGTCCTTCTGGGGATCATAGTTTTTCAAGCTGATCTGCAGCTCCACCGTCTCCACGAACCTACAAACAGACGCGGTTAGATTAAAACATCCCGTTCCTGCGTTTAAATTCCAGGTTGAGCAGTTTTCCTCATGTGAACTTACTTCCTCGGCTTTCCCAGAGAGCCCTGGAGCACCTCCTTCACGGCTTCGTACAGCGTATCCCTGGAGACCTTACTGTAACATAAAGTGATCATAAAACACGTTAAAGTAGATGCCATTAGTGAATTACCACGTGAATAAAGCCCCCTATGGTGGTCGACGGCAGCGATGAAATAGTCATAAAATAGGTACAAAGTCGGGAAACATTTTCTCTTTAATATAATCTAGGAGAGTTAACATGTACATCCGATGCTGAATTATTTCTGAAACATGTTTTAAATCTGTGGATGACTGCGGATTACACCTCAAACTGAACGTGGACCGGCATCAGAACCGGTCCCATTACGTCACGTTACTGCACTAAATAACACAAACTCCGCTCAATACAGGAACACAACGTGTTTAAACTCAGTGCAGCCGAGGAAACGATGTATTCCTCCACATTATTTGTTGTTATTTGCTGTTATTTTTTCACATTAGCTGACCTCATCGTAGCGGCTCGTGCCTCTCTTCGTCCTGCGGGGGAAAAGGAAGTTCAGCCGGAAGTTACGCAAAATAAAGGCGCCCGCGCGGTGACGCCATCAAAAAGCGCGAACGACTTTTTTTTGTAATACATAAAAAAATATAAAAAATAATTTGTTTTTTCTCATTGGATATTTCTGATTCACTTTTGTTATTATTATAGACAATATTTGGTTTAACTTAGAACAAATAAATAGTCAAAAAAGGTTTAACGTTATTGATTAAATGTAAAAGCTTCTGATATAAGATCCTTTTTCTTTAAACGACATATAAAAGTTAGACTCCTGTATGTAAACTATTACAGAACAGCACACAATATTATAAGTGAAATGTACTTATTAAGTACATAATGTGTATATATATCTTTATAAATAGTATTATTATAAGTATTAAAAGTACTCATGCAGCAGTGCACATACAGATGCCTTAACATATAAGCAGCATTTTACTGTTAACGATGATTGAGGTAATTTTATGATCATAATACAAGCTATTTTATAAGTCAAATATTAATCTGCAGGGTAATTTGCCAATAATTGTACATTATTTCCCTCTAAAATCTCATTGAATCATCCAGTGATGTACCTCAAAACTGTATTTAAGTACAGTACCGAAGCAAATGTTCCTCGTTACATTCCACCAATGTATTTGTTAATGTTAACAAATACTTTACTCAGTTTTTAAAGGACTCACACACTGAAGTCGGGCAGCACTATGCACGTACACACACATGATGAATATGACAACAGAATAAGCTTGAATTGCGACACCAACATTTCAAGTAAACAAAAGTCAGGAATGCAGAAGTCAGCATTTTACAATCTTTTTTATAAGACCTGACTCAGAGGAGAAGTTTGATATTTTTATGAGTCAAACTCGCGAAATACGGTCTCTCATTTTCAAATAAAATATGAAGAAGCAGACAACAACTTATTTAAACTGGTTTATTAACATGCATTGGGTCAGATGAAACTTCATGAGTGTGTGATTCTTTTCAGGGCAGCTTGGAGAGACTTTTTCAGGAAGGTCTCATTTAACATCAGGCAACCGTGCAGGGATTGTTTATGTGCAGCAGTCACCTGGCAAAACACATACAATACATATGCAGAAAGATTACAAATACTATTTCATACACTGTTCAGCCATTGTGCATAATACATGTACAAACTTACATAAGTGCTATATTTGGTGAGAACAGTGAGCATCATTTTTGCGAACTTCACAGACTTTGTGAACTGAGGACCCTGGCTGACGAGCTGTTCGGTGAACTGTGTGAACAGTTCTTCACTCAAGTCAGGCTGAAATAAACCCAGAAAACAAGGCAACTCAATAACAGTGAATATTATGACTAAGTGGTATGCAGCACTTTTTCCATGCATAAACATTCACATTACCTTGGAGTCTAGCAAGCTGTGGATAACGGAGAGCACTGCCTCACTCCACGCTATTCTGAAAGTCATTCTGGGGGGAAAAAAGGTAAAAGACTGCATCAAAAAGCAACTAATAACCATATGAATCTATATTGTTTGATGCTTATTTGATACATATGCAGAATTTAAATGATCTCACTGGAGCACCAGTAGTCTGTAATGGGAGTCCAGGCAGCTTTCTATCAGTCGGTTCAGCAGCTCGGCCTGTGGATTCCCTGACAACAAAACAAAGTTCAAAAAAGAGGATCAATTGATGTGCGAGGTGAGGAACAAGGTCACGGCTCAGCCCTTCATAACATCAAAGCACCTGTCCTGTTAATGTACACATGAACGAGGACACTGAATCCATGTCAGCTCCAGGGTTTAACTAAATCCCTGTTCAGACCTGCTATTAACATGCGTCTTGGATGAGCTGATCACAAGTGGACAGGAGCCCGGCAGTAGAGACGTGCTTAGCTGTCCACTTGTGATCGGACCCATGTAATCAAGGCCTAAATGACACCCCTGTGACAGGCAGTGTTAATGAATGATTACAACCCTTTCCTCACCTATGCTCTTTTCCACTAGAACGGGTTCGATTAGAGCGTGGCACATTGGTCTGGGACAGCGGCTACACAGCATTGTCACTGCAGTCACTAGACATCTGGAGGCCGGTTCTGACAAGGACAGGACCTGCAGGTATAGTAAAATGAAATCCTGTCAGTATCAAACCCACCAACACCTGTCGCATCCTTTGCATATTCTGTGATGTACCTTCTCCAGCAGGAGGCTCTTGATGAGTGTTGCAGCCGTGCTGTAGCTGAGGTCAGGAGAGGGAGCCAAAATACTGCTGCACAGTTTAGGCAGAGTGTGCTCGGGTAAGTCGGGCAAACTCAGCGTGCTGCATAACAACTCCACCTAGAAAGGAAAGGAAGAGACGTGTAGAGAGTGTAGTATGACACTCAACTACTACTCAACCATTGTGAATGAAGTTTTTTTGGTGATATTTTGAACTTAAGTATTATTTCTGATCCTGTATTTGTATTGGTGTTGTGTTGCAGTACATGTACAAGATGTATCTAATATTTTATTATTTTATTAACATAATCAGGTGGATAAAATGTCACCTTTAAATGTAGTGAGATTCACAGTGAACACATATAAAAGTATTATTGCAAACATTGACAAGAGTCAGATATAACATTTTGAGGACATACTTGGCCGGGGTCACACTCGTTTAGTACTTTGAACACATCCGTGGAGCTCTGGTCCCACTGCAAACAACAACAACAACAATTATAGTAATGTCAAATGTCACTCTTAGTCTGTGCTGCTGGAAGAAAGAGAACATTATTATCTTACCTCTGTCTGACTTTCCAGTAGTTCTTTTATTTGAAGAACAGCGGCCTAAATAAACACAAAAATAGACCATATTTTGTTATTTAACCTGTTTGATTTGATAAATAATGGTCCGACACACAAGTTGACTGTGGAAACTTACTATCCAATCTCTCATTTAAAAATTGTGTTCTTTAATTGGAATAAATGAAATTGGTAATATTGTGAAAATGGATGATACATTTCAGGACAGATAGTCCATCTCTACCTTTATATGTTCAGGCAGAGCATCACATGGTTGGTCCGGTGCTGGCTGCAGTTCTCCTGCAGGAGTTTCTGCCACAGCATCACTTTCTATTCTTCCTGATATCTCTTCTTTCACACTCTGTTCTTCAGCATCAAGACACTCACTGCCACAGACATCTACCTTTATCCGTTTACTCTGCTGTCCTGTTTCATCACCATCGGAGTCCAGAGTGACAAAGCTGCTCTTCCTTTTCCTTTGTGTCCCCAGCACTGATAAACCAGATGCTCTCTGAGATCCGGACTCTACTGTATGACCGCTGAAGCACTTGGCCCATCCTTCAGTCTCACCAGAACCAACCAAACGCTGCGACAGCTCCTTGAGTCTCTGGCCGCACAGTGGAGTGTACAGAGGCTCTTCACTGTGGGCCCCCAGGTGTCTTTGCAGCTGTCTGACCAGAGTGGAGACCCAGGGGCTCGGGTGAGGGTCCTGGCTGAGGCATTTGAGCAGATGGAGGACAGCGGTTCGTGGAAGAATCGAGTGGACCAGATGGAGGAAAGACAGCAGGTTTTGTTTGAATAAGGCTGGGAACAGGCACACCAGGGGTTTACTACAATAGGTGAGAGAGAAGGTACAGGTGTGAGACATAATACGGTAGCAGATGCCAACGGTCTGTCTTAGGCTAGCACTTATGGACTGAATTTAACTGAAGATCATTTCATGGTATTAAACAGAAGTCAACAGGGTAATGTTGTATTTTAGTGCAAAATCAGTGATCGAGATGTAAAGAAAACACCAGTATTAAAAAGATTTAACAAGAAATAAATAACTAACAGGCCTATATTATGAATTAAATAATGAAATTGATTGAGAAAACACAGATGAGATGCTGATAAAATAGGCCTTTCTGAGGACATTTTAAAAGTAGTAGTTCAAAGCTTAATTCACCTTTGTGGTTCCTAAACTAGAGGTTGGACACCTTCCAACGAAAGGAGGACAAGAGACAGTAAATGTGAGGGGTCATGAGATAATTAATGGGGGAAAGGTTCAGCTGCACAAATGTGTATTCATTTTAGGAAATTCTCTTTTTTTCCTTCTAAAAAACATTGGCTAATTTGTTGTTTAAATGAGGCCATCTGCATAGTTTAGAGGGGAAAAGCCTCTTTGCCAGCAACCCCAACATAGGGTCACAACTAGCCAAAAAGATTAGGTTTAATCTTTAACAATGTATTATATTGTATAAGCTTATACCTATTGCTGTAGTATAAGAAGCAGTATACAAGTACAAATACCTCAAAACGTTACTTTAGTCCTACTTGTAAATGTACTTATTGCTAGTGCTTACTGACATGCCACAATAGAAAAGAGCCATTTTGTTTGTTAGTAATAGTACTGACGTGTTTTATAATTTAAAATGCTTGCAGTGATAAATATAAGTAAAATTAATAGTCTACGGAGTGATTTTAATGTCAAGACTACACCCAGCATGTCAACCGTTTCTATAGCAACAGGAGTGTCCTAGCTTTGACGTTGCCAGGGTGAACGGCAGCAGACAGAAATGTCTCCTACTCCCTGAGGGGAAACCCAGTGACCTAATACCAAGTTAGCTCTAAAATAACGTTACATGTGATTCCCAAAAACCTACTGCGGTGACCTTTTACTTACACCGTTAGCGGCTGGGCTTCCACTGGTGCACAGGTTATTTCGTCTCGGCACAGTGTTTCTATGAAGTTGGACAGAGACAGTCCGGGGTCGGCCCGCTGCTGTCTGTGGAAGACGCCCAGAGCTCGGTGGGCACCGGAGGCTCCGGACAGAAGCGACCGGACCAGCAGCTTCGACTGCCCGTTGAACCGACCCAGAGACACGTTACTAGTATTCATTACTATAAAGTGTCACACCGTGTTTGTCCAGTGCTTTCTAACCCGCCAGTTTTATCAACTTGTCTTCTTCGCGAGTGCAATTTGACTACATTTGTACTCACACCTCCACCTAGTGGTAAAGGTCAATAGTCCAGTTTCTGAGTTTTAATATAAACATTTCCACTAGTGCCAAATGAAGAACACGACGCACCTTTTTAGTGAGACAAAGTGTGAAGCAATGTTTTATTTTCTGTGTACAAGTACAACTTGTTTAAAAGAAATAAAATCTTAACATTTTACATTCTTGCCAAAACTAGGAAAAAGGCTGTCATGACTATCACTTGAGGCAGGTAATCAGTAGGGGACATGCAAGAAAGGGTACAGTATACTTTTCATCAATAGACAATTAAAACTACTATCCACAAAACACTTTAAAATATCAAAATGGTGCAAATTGCGAGGACAAGTCAGAATTGAGCACTCCTATTAATCGGTAGAGGATCAGGCAAAATTAACTATCTGCAACGAGTTTGAAGCACAACGGCCACAGGAGGGTGAGACAAATGCAAAGTACAAGGCCACAGATTAACCATAACAACATTAGAGAGTCAAGATTTGTCCCACACAGGGGGTGCTTACATCTAGAGGAGGGGGCAACAAGCCATGTGCCATGGAGAGCCAAGTGTAACACATTCTCCAAACAGACTGTAGCAGGTGAAGTCACAGATTAGTCCCTCTCGCTATCTCACTAACAATCTCTCTGAACGCTCTCCATGGTGCACGGTTGATATCCCTCATCTCGATCGCGGCTACTCAAAATGTAGCAATACTGATCCAACGAGGACAGAAGGGTCGAGACATAGCCATGTGTTCTTCTGGGCTCAGTTTTATAGTCAAGACCCCAGTCAGTGGTTTCAGGCACCGACAACAACAACAAAAGACAATGAAAAAGCTCAGAAACCGTACTCCTCAGATAGGTAAAAAGGAAAGTCAAAGTCATCTTCATCGTCGTCATCGTCACCACCGAGAAGGGTCATGGCTATGAAGAGATTAAGCAGATCTACACCATCGTATTCGTCTTCATCTTCTGTAGGATACTGTTGAGCAAGAAACACAAGGTCAGGGAAAGTAAACACACAAACGTTATCTCGGTCTAAGAACTTCATCATGTAACTGGGATTATATTTACCGGAAATGACCTGCGACGTGCATGTTTGTCATGCCGATAAAGGCACTCCGTTTTAAATGGGCAGCATCTGTATCGTGTATAGTAACTGCAGCTTTTCTTACTAGAAAGCAGAAGAGACAAAACAGAACAATCACAAGAATTCAACTTGAGATTTAACTTCAGTTCCAGTTTGTAACATTTAGGGGGACCAATTTGCAGAAGTGGGATAGAACATTCATGTTTTCACAATTGCCTGAAAACAATCGTTGCGTTTTCTTTACCTTACAACAAGCCGTTTTATCTACAAAGGGTAACCAGGATGTTTTTTTAAATTGGCCCAGAATGGTCAAGTCTGGCTATAAATAGGGTCTTTGTATTTTCTGAGAGTTTTGCAGCCACCGTAGTTTCTCTTACACGCTCTGGTGAGCCGTTATTCAGTTGGTTTTAATGTGTAACATCATTGCTAGATGACACTAAACCCTACACACATTAAAGACAAAACTGCATGTTTTTAAGGCTCTAATAAAGTAACAGGTTTAATATCTTTTAAGTGTGTCCCCATTTATTCTTTACTCAATACTAATGTAGCACCTTTAGTATTCATAAAAACAGTTCTAGCTTCCAGACTTAATAGCCAATGTAACAGGGTAAATCTTGCTTCCTGTGAAATGTGTATTAAGTATCGATTACGACACGGCTTTAAACTATGAAAAATGATCTACAGTTCAGGTAAATTCAGTTTTGTTTTGGGGTTTAAATACGTGGATTAAAATTAGTGTTCATCACAAGTTACAGCAGGCTTATTAGACTTAATCTACAGTGGCCTACAATTAAGTTTGAAAGTCCCATTTGACTCCGACTTCAATATTTTAAATATAGTAGTTTAAAAATAAATGTTTTGAGTTGCTGGTTAGTTTGATCACAGTCAGTCAACATGCAGGAGATGGCTGGGTGAGAGCTGAGCAGTCAAACTGGAGTGTTATGTCCAACATAAACAAAAACAGGATGGGTGACTGAAACCTGTGTACAGTACTACAAACCCAGCAAGTACAAAATAAGGGCAGACTTCAAAAAGGTAAGACAAATATGCACTGATGTGGACAGTTTCAAAGCTGCGTTGACCTCAAGCCCCGCTGTAGTGATCAGTGCTGCTATCAAAGCTCAATGCCATACCTGAATTTCTCTTTGAAGGCAGCAATTAAGCTCTCCTTTGCTTGCCCTTCAACCCAGTGTTTGTTAGGCACATAAAAGGCAGATCTCACTCTGCACTGCGGGCAGCTCCTGAGGAATAATTAAAACAGTGACGTCAAGTCAGATCCTTTATGGTGTGCTGTTAAATATTCAGAATGACGGGTACCTACTTCACCACGTCTGGCCCGAGGTCTTTCGTTTTCCTCCAGGTCATGATGCATTGTAAACAGAACGAGTGATTGCAGTTTGGCAAGATTCCAAAAACATGGTTTCTTGGATCGATCTTTTCGTACACCTTGTCCATGCAAATGCCACAGGTCACATTTTTACTCTGGAGGAAGGCCTCCATTTCCTCTACTTTCCTCTGGGTATTAGAGGCAGCAGCAGCAGCAGCACCGTCCTCTGTCGTCTCACTGGAAGAAGTCTGCAGGACACACAAACGTTTGCAATCAGTATAAGCCTCCTGCTTTCCACTTGGTTTAATTCCCCAAAATGCCCTGTGGAAAGACCGCACTTAAAACTAAGCAAACCTGCTCATTTCTTCCATCACATGCATATGCTTGAGCAACTTCTGAGCTCTGGGCTGATTCCCAAGAAGCAGTGAGATGAGAGTCAGTATCTGCAAAGAAAAAGTAAGTGAAGTACGGAGAAATACGGACCCAAGTCGGTTTCACCCATGAAAACATCCAGTACCTTCTGATTGTTCCTCAGCAATATTTGCTGTCAGACGCCCAATGCTGCGTTGAGGATTTGAGACATTAACCACAAACTCTGATCTTCTGCATTCCTGCCTGGACATCACCTCGGCCTGCAGAAGAGCAGGCTCTGACCCTCTTCTGTCGGATGGATTGTAAGCCACACTGGAGGAGGAGACCGTAGGCACCGAACTTCTTCTACCTGCAACAGCTGCATCGACCTCCGGTTGAAGGACATGGAGATACCTGGTGGTGGAAAATCCTTAGTGAGCCATGGAAAGTTGTGCGCACGTCATCTTTTCCTTCATCTAGTTAAAGATCAATAGCTCACCTGCAGCGTTCACCATACCAGCATCCACCTTTTTGAAAGTACCTACAGATTTGGGCTGATGGTATAACTGGCCATTCGTGTCGATAATTACACCTGGGACCAAATCTGCAAGAGCCATTTATGAAACGTCTGTAATGAAAAAGGAGAGAGATTAAGTCTTTTTCATCCATGTAGCTTCATAAGCAAATTTAAAGTCTTTCAGGTCTGTGAATGTAACTGGCAATAAAAATAAAAAGACACAAAACTGTTTGTTTTTTTAACATAACTGAGGTTAGATCCATTCAATGCATACATATAATAAGTGTATCTATATTTAATTGTTCCTGGAATTTAACCATTTTAAAATCTCTTTACTTCTGCTTTCAAGTCCCAAGTCATCAAATCGAGGAACTGAAGTCAAGGCTCGAGTCATCATTTTGTGTCTGATTAGTGTTAATTTCCGATGGAAACTTCCCATCATGTGATCACAGTGTGAAGACCTAGCGACGGACAACGTTTGAACAACAACAACAACAACATTAAACTAAACACAAACAAACCGCCGTGCCTCTTACGTTACCTTCAAATACCACCACAAACACCTGGCAACCAGAATCCAGCGCCGGGCATCTCTTTAAAGCTGTGTAATGTTGAGATACACTTCCCCCCTACACAGATGTACAATCCCTCAAAGGCTCGACTAATATAGTGTTTACATGCTGTTGAAATAACTTGAGGCTTTCAGCTGCTGTTAAAGTTAGTTAGGTGCTACAAACTTGAGCTAACTAGTTAGCATTGTCCTTTAAAAACTAGTTGAGTTTCATTGTGAATGTTTCTGCTCATATTTTAACGCTTTACATCCATTTATTCACATGGGCTCTCCACGCTAACACACACACACACACATACGTCACAAAAAAACAACTTTGTATCATTTTATTTAAAACAATTAACCCCTTTTGTTAATTAAATCACCCCAAAAAGCACCTTTTTTCCCTCGACTTAACGGCAGCATTTGAACGCAGCACACCGGGTGAGTTAATAACGTTTCACAGTATCAGAGCCAAGTTTCTCCTTTCACACCATTTTCCTCCGCTTTATAAACTTCATACACAACCAATTGCCGCTTACCTACAGATACTTCCACTACGGGCCGAGTCCATCCTCCGTGTGTTTTGAGCATGCCGCCAAACACCCTCCATCTTACTAACTAAATAGTTGACAGCCGGTTCCGTTCACCAATTAACTCAACAACGGACCAATAGAAACGTCACGTTGACGTCTGTACGTAACGTGTTCCAATTTTCCCATTTATCCATCCAAGTGTCTGAACTCTCCCAAAGTTAGTTTAATTATGGTACTTTAACAAGGGGCTAATGGCAGGCATGTGTATTAGACATGTACTCTGCCTCATAAGTAAAAAAAATAATAATAATAGAAAAATCGGGGTTAATATTTCTAATAAAGTTTATAAGTGAGAACTTAACTAGATCTGCAGATTGGATTACATGGGACTATACGGACTAAGTTATTTCAAGTCAAATATGTCAATCCATCACTTGCACAGGCATAGAGGTAGCTTACATCAACTTTGTCTTATTTTTTGGTGCACTTTCTTATTTCTTTATCCATCCACACCCTTTGCTATACTTGGCACACTGCACATCAGCCGATAATATAAAATTTGCAACGTGTACCCAAATAGCAGGAGATTAAGGCAAATAAAATGTAAGAGATTAGATGAGACAGTGGAATAATGTCACAGATCATACATTAGAGGTAGATAGGGATCAAGACAGAATAAGAGCACAAGAGGAGACTTGTGAAGGTGGACTCTGTGCACCAGTGCTGACATACTGTAGTCCATTCAGAACAAGTACAGTGGAAAAAAAAATAGAGATCTTACAGAATATGGGGGGGAAACAATTGGAAACAGATGAATCTGCTGTTACACTTTGTGCCTCTACTAACAAGACAAATCAGACTACACAAAAAAAAGGCTAGTAATCTAAGACTGTGGATATATCTTGGGTGAATGCAGAGACGACTTGTGATACCAGATGCTGGATGTTAATTTCTAATCATCATCAATATTCCCAATAATGACATCATGGTACAGTATGCTGGTTTTAGGTAAATCCCGCTAAGGCTTGAAATCCAAATTCCTCATCAAGGGAAAGTTTGTTGGTATGCTTGACGATATATTTGGTACAACCTAAACTAAATAGGCAGACATGTCATACAAAAACAAAAACAAAACAGATATACTCAATACATAAAACAAGATGATAATTCATGTTTTGCCCTTACAAATATGATCAACAATTACAAATAATTAGTAACATAATTACAAAGAATAAACTAAGAAAAACCTTAAAATGGCAAGTCAATGATAATTTGCATGTCAGAATAAAGAAAAACAAAAAACAAACAAACATGCGGTCCCTTGTACTTCAATGGGTCATGTGTTTATAGTGTCAGCTTCAGAAACAAAATCTGTGCAGCATAGTCCATTAGTTACCACTTAGGTAGATGGCTTTAAGACAAAACCTATATAACTTGGATCTCCACATTTATTGACAAATGGAAACGGTATTGCACAGACAGCTGCTTCGAGAGAGAGAGCTCTACACTGCTGGAGCCAGCCCAGTTTGTGTTCTATAAACCAAATGGCAAAGTAGCAGTCACTGATAATGATGATGATGATGATGATGATGATGATGATGATGATGATGATGATGTAAACAAAAAAACAACGTTTGCATGTTCAGCTTTACCAAAAGTCTGAGAACAATCACTACCAAAAAGACATTGGCATCATAAGAAATTCCTGCACAGTACAAACTGACAGCTCCTTTCTATTCCAACTATGCCATTGGTGTAAGAACATGAAACGCTTTCCCTTCACACGTGAGGAGAAGCTCTCTCTGGACGCTGCTCTGGGGTCAGTTTTGCTATTAGAATGTAATAGGAGCAGCCTCGGTGAGAAAAACATATCATTCTCTCTGTTAAGTAACCGTTGTGGGAAACTAGGACTTGCAGCAAATGATTCCAGATGCTCATCTCACACTCAACTCACTCGCGCGCCCACACACACACACACACACCACGCACACATACATTACTGTGCTGAGGGTAATGCTGACACTGAGAAGACTTTGCTGATTGTGTTAGCCCTACCACGTGACTTTGCCTCATCTGCACGTTAAAATCCATGCCCGTACGTGGAACAGTGCTTGTACTGAATGCAGTGTATTATTATAAATATGAATTCAGTCTGTAACAGTATTGCTAAAAGCAGTCTGTGCTGGAGAATACTAATACATGTCTTTGTAGATCTCCTGTAGTAGAGGGTGGAGCGAGGTCTCCGACTCAGTCTTTTTGATCTTTTGGACAAGGTGAACGTTCTCTGTAACCAGCTGACGGAGGTCGGCCATCTTCTGCAGCAGCTTGGGGAAGAGGTAGACTGAGTCAGAGTGGTTTGCTTGTAGATGGAGGTCCAGGGCCTGGAGGATGCTGTCCTGACTCTGCTCCACCTGCTTCACGTTCATTAGCCCAGGGCGATCTGGGTGGAACAACACAGCACCAAGGGACACCATACAATGAGTCACAATTCACTCCGAGCAAACATATAAAGTTTCTGCAGCGTTCAAGTTAAACTAAAGTTTTTTTAAAGACATTTTCAAAGCCAAATAGAATAGTTTAATTCCTGTTTGACAATCATACATGATGGAAAACCACTAGAGACGATATGGCCTAGAATTATTATTTATTATTAAATCACATATTTGAATAAATGTGACCTGGACCTAGTAAAGGTGGCATAAAATGAATGGATGGATTAACCAACAACAAAAATAAGAATATATTTATGTTAATGTCTCTAGCTTTAAAATGGACATTTGCCCCATTATGTCAATTTGAGTTTCCATGCAAGAGCTGCGGCAGTGTTTGCTACAGGTCTGATGGTGCTGACTGAAAAGTATCCAACAGACTCTGTATACACAATCCAGAGTTAAAAGAATCCCACTTTAATCTATCAGTGTCTCCTAACTGTAAACAGATACCAAAACATTTTATGGATGAAATTACTGACTTAAGACAGGCCAGATGAAATATTTAATACTTCTGTAAAATTCAGTTTTTTCAGATTCAGATTTTTCAAAACCTGCAGATATGACAAATATGACATTATTCAAACCCTTCTGTCTCACCTCCACAGAGAATAATGGCAGCAACAAACAGGGCCAGGTCGCTGTCATCCAGCTCCAGAGCATTAAACTTGACAGCAAACTCAAACTTGGGCTCCATGATCTCACTGAAGGGCTTTCTTAAGCTGCGCAGGAACTCCCTGGTCACGAAGCCTTTACCATTGGCCACCAGCAGCCCATCTTTGTTCATGAGAGAGGGCAGCATGGCAAAAATAGCCTCGTGCACGCCATATTTCAGCAAAGTCACCTGCAGAAAGCACACAGACAATTGCACATTAGTGCCCGACAGCCACATACAATTCATCTTACTGTATGGGCTGACAGTGACTCACCTGGTCATTAAGGAAGAGGTCCACAAACCCTGGAATGCACTTGGCAAACTCGGTGAGCTCTCGCACAGTCTCCACCGTAGTGCATTGGCAGCGGTAGAACACATGGACCCCAATCTCCTTGGTCAGGGGCGCACCTGGAACTAACTGGCTCCATACCAAACCACTTTCTGCCTTCCACAGCGTGTCCACATCGTAGATCACAAAAGGCTGAAAAAGGAGGCAAAAAATAGAACCACAACATTCAAGGTATGACCCTTGGAGGATTAGCATAAAACACAACATTGGATTATGTATAAACAGGTACTTTGTGGTTCTGTGATTCAGACTGCAGTTAAGGGTCAGAGGGTTCAGTCCCGACAACAGATGTAACAATATATTCCTGTGATGTGCCCCTATGATGAGCATGTATTACTTAATAGTTATATATCCATATATATGTAAAACCAGGCTGGTCGGGACAGAGGAGCTGTTCTGAAACCGGAGCATACCGAGGTGCTGCTGGTTTTGCCCATCAGGATGCTGCGGGCCCTCTTCTTGGTCATACTGAGGTTCTTCAGGTAGGCTGTGTTGACTTGTTTGGCCAAGGTCTTCAGGTCTGAGCCACCTGGTTTGCCGTGGTTTTGCTCCTCTGCAAGCAGACCTGCCACCAGCTTTTTCCTCTCCGCCTCAGGCATACGTCCATATCGGATCGCTGCATAAACACACACACAGACGCTGGTCTTATTTTTGAGTGGATATTGCCGGAGTAAATCACTTTGTCAGTACCATGATTGGGTTCTTGATACCTACTTTTGTTTTGTTAACAATTTCCAAGTTAGCAAAATACCCAGAGACACTGCATGTTTAAAAATATTATGAGACTTCAGAAAAATGTCAGGTTATATATAGGTAGCCTTGAAAATCATGTTCTCCACCTCCCAAACATACAAAAACCATCAAAGGAGATTAGAAAGGCACTGAAATATATTAGCAGGTTTGTTACTCAATTTAGATTCAATCAAACTCTTCTAAGCTAAACTCAACTCAGTAAATTACATTTCCATAGAAACATTAGATCTGTGAAAAAAAGAATGTGCTTAATTATTTTAAATAACATGGCTCAATTTATTTGGCAAAATATTCCCATCTCACCATCATGGGACATTCCCAAAGACAGGCACTTCTGGAAGCGACAATATTGGCACTTGTTACGATTCTTCTTCTGAATCTTGCAGGAACGCTCACAGCGATCATATTCCAGTTTCATTCGCACGGTTCGCCGGAAAAAGCCCTGAGTAAGAAACAACACAACCGGTTCAGCAACTCAGATAGCAACAAAACGGCTGTGATCAGATCTAAGGTTGTCATTTGATTTAGCTACTGTGCTGCACACACTGCATTACCTTACAACCCTCACAGGCGTGCACGCCGTAGTGGAAGCCAGAGGCCTTGTCCCCACAGACCTTACACTCCACGCTGATCCCAGCCCCTGTGCTGTCTTCTCGTCCTAGACGCAGCTGTTCTGACAGCGAGGGCGACGAGGTATGTGACAGGTCTGCACAAAAAAAAAAGCATGAATATTGAGACTCAAGAATGATGTGCCATCTAAATATCCCGTGCGCCATTTCCCAGGAAGTACTTGGAGAATTTTGAAATAAAAGTCATACCTGTGTAGCTGGATGCTGCACTGCTGTTTTGCTTGCTGTTCTCCTCCTGATCCAAATTCTCCTTCTCTTTCTTCTTCTGGTCCCCTTTCAGGCCTTTAGAAGCAGGAACTACCTCCCTCTCCTTGTCCTCCTTGTCCTCCTCATCCTCGCTTTCCCTGGCCTTCAACTCTTGCAGGTCGGTCAGCTCCGACACACTCGTGCCCCCACAGCTGTCTGAACCTCCAGACTCTCCCTCTGGCGGCGTCCACCTGACATCAGCCGCGTCCTGGGGAGATTTGGGCTCGCAGTAGCCATTCACCCTGTCGTGCTGCTCTGTAGCAGTTTGTTGAAACCCTTCCATGGTTCCTGTTGAAGCTGACTCAGCGGCTCCCCTCCTGTCACGTTGCCATCATAGCTCCACTATTAAAGAATGAAATACTTGGTTTTAAACACCCATTATTAAAATCATGACCACTCGACTGTTGACCGGACTCAAACGTCTATATCCAGCATGTGAGAAGTTAACAGTCCAACAACCCCAGTGACCAGTCACCAGCCGAACTGAGCGTAAAGCTTGTCATAACACATTACAGAGCCAAAATGGTCCCCTAAATGTCCATCTTCCATGTAAGCACACTGATAAAAAAAAGTGTGTTTATTTAGGCGTCCTTTCCCCGAGTCGGTCTATTACTACTGGTTGTGTTTGAGCAGCCAGGGAATGTCCTTGATAGTAATAGGCTTATGACATGATATACACATGCTGTGTAGGCATGCCTGGATTACCCGCCAGGCAAGCGAAACAGACAAGCAGGGGCCCCCGAACAATAAGAGCCCTGAATGCCCCAGTTTTGCCTGAAGACGGACTTACTAGATGGGATGTGTGACACGCATAACATAACCAGTCAGGGACGTAAAGTAAAAGTAAAAATCCAATACAGCCGCAAAGCACTGCCGCCCACTGGTTAGTAAGAATACAACAAGATAATATCAGGAGAGCTACCAAAGCATAACCGGTACGGCATTACCTCTGATTGTAGACGTGTTTACATCAATCCCCTCCATTTTACTCATTTCCAATCAAGAGTATGCGTCTACACAGATACAATCGAAAACTACAAACACATGTCTGAACACAAATAAGGGCCCCATTTCTGTGAACAAGATTCTTCAGCCAACCACAGTTTTTAAAGGGTCTGAACATGAATGTGTGCTAAACACTTCAGCCTGTTCTCCACTATCTTATAAAGTAAACGTTGTCTCTATTGAAGCTGGGAGACATCTGTATTATTGTTTGCCTCAGTCCCATGGTAGGGTGTACAGTGTACTTGTTGGGTGCTTTAAGGGGACAGGGTGCATGCACTATGTACACACTGAGCAGTGTTGATCGCTGGTGGAGGCAGTAGGGGAGAGGGCTTTGGGGGTGGGGGGTTAAATATTTGCCCCGCGGCCCCCTAGTGGACTAATGCCTCCATGTTTGCAGCTAACTGACTAAAAACACCCACAGCCTCTACTTATTAAAGACTGTATTAATGAACACAATGTCACAACACGGTGGCTCTCAGTCTTAACTTTGTTTTCACACGGTTTCAGAAGACCCCCACAGATTAACTCGCACTGTTGAGACTTGCCAACCTGTCACACTGGTTCTCGGAAAATATCTGCTAATATTACTGTGAACCGAGGCACTGACAGGGCTTGTAACTTGATATTAAGCAGCAAAGAAATGACAGGACGGCTAACACACAGACACAGCTAACCCTTTTCTCTAGAAGAAAGCGACATTAGACGTATAAAAGAGAGCAGCTTTACCTCTGTGGCTCGGCCGTCGAAGACTGTCGGCACGGCTAGCTAGTTAGCTACTAACCTTGAATATTGACTACTACTACTGGCTCTGTGTGTGTGTGTGTGTGTGTGTGGTGTGTGTGTGTGTGTGTGTGTGTGTGTGTGTGTGTGTGTGTGTGTTGGTGGTGTGCGCTTAAATAACGTTAGCTGGCGTCCCAACTTTAGCTTACCTCTTCACAATAGTGCTGCTGGTTCAGGAGGTCTTTTTTACCCTACGATAAATTGGCAGCCGGTCATTGGAAACAAACGAGTTATTATCGATAATCAGGTCCCGTCCAGGATCGATCGGCTGCTGACAAGTTGTCTGAAGTGAGTTAGCAGCGGGAGCTAACGTCAGACTGCTAACATAAACTTAACACTGGCTCAGGGCCTCTCTCTCTCTCTCTCTTCTCTCTCTGTGTGTGTGTGTGGTGTGTGTGTGTGTGTGTGTGTGTGTGTGTGTGTGTGTGTGTCGACCGAGGGCCTGAACAGACCGCTTGAGCTCCGCTGAGTTAAAGAACAACTAATGTGGACACGTTTTTGTTCGCTACCATATCACATGTAGATAAGCAATAAGTTCACTGATATACTCCCAGACTCTCTCCCTTGTTGCTACACCTTGCTTTGCTCTGCTTTGCGTTACTCTCCTCCCCTCCTCCTTCTCCTCCTCCTCCTCCTCCATCGTCAACATGCCAGTACACAGCGCCCCTCCCACCACACACAACACACACCACACACACAACACCACACACAAACACAACACACACACAACCACACACACACACACACCACTCCAGCTTTCTGAGGAGTCAAGGTCTCTGTTAACACTAAACACTGTTGTTTCTGTAATCTGCAACAATATATTCTTAATCTGTACTGAGACTAAAAGGGTTTATGTGGCTTTATTTTGTTTACATTAATAAATAAATCATAGATTCAGTAGTTTAGAAATAAATAAACCAGGAAGTATATTTAAAGAATATTACCATCATCTGTTAAATGTCAAAGGCATGGCATTATAATATGTTTAATTGTAACTTTGCTTTGCATTTGATACTATCAGACATCAATTTAATACAACTTCCATCAGTTCTGCTTATGATAACACTACTAAAGTACTAAAGTGAAAGTAACATACAAAGTACAAAAACAAATCTAAAATAGGTCCAACAGGGCAACATACAAGCTGTTTAATTACCTGATCTGTATTGGAGAGAACATTATATTTTATAGCATACTACTAGATTAATTTGTGGTTAATTTAACCATCACACATCATTTTCTGGGGTCATTTAATATTCCATATAGCATATACTCCTCCATATAGTCCTACTAGCAGGTTGAACAGGCCATGATATGCACATTCAAGTGTTTAATGTTTTAAATCGTTTGCATTCATCAATAACATGGATTTAGATAAGTGCTGCTTTATAAAAAAA